AATTTTTAAAAAATCTTTTATTTATTTTTATTTTTAAAATGTATTTATTGATTTGAGAGAGAGAGAGAGAAAAGGGAGGGGAGAGAAACATCAGTTTGTTGTTCCACTTATTTATGCATTCATTGGTTGCTTCTTTTATGTGCTCTGACCAGAGATGAAGCCCGGAACCTTGGCATAGCAGGACAATGCTCTAACCAATTGAGCTACCCAGCAAGGGCCTGGGGCTGCGATTTTAAACACAGTGGTAACATGGTACATGCATGGAGAAGGTCACATTTGAGCAAAGACTTGAAGGAGATGAGGGAGTTAGTAGATAATGGGAGAAGAGAGTTCCAGATACAGGCAACAGCCTGTGCCAGGATGCGAGCGGAGAGGGAGTCTTGTGTGCAAGGAAGACCAGCCGGGGGGCCTCGTGGCCTGGGTGGGGTAATCGAGGGGCAGGGTCATAGCAGGGAAGGCCCAAATGTAATTGCTTGCTTCCTTCTGGTTTCTTACAGCTTTATGGATCATGTACTCATTGTTCTCTGACATCCCTGGACCCCAAGTCGCCAACATGATAAGGCTACTTGAGTCACTTTCTGTAATTTCTAAGTTCATAGAAACATTGCAGCCCATTAGCGCCGTACATTTTTAAAACATTAATATACCCATGTCTTGGCTCTTGTGAATAATGCTGCAGTGAGCATGGTGCAGATATCTCTTCACGATAGTGATTTCATTTCCTTCAAATATAAACCCAGAAGCGGGATTGCTTGATCATATGATGGTTCTATTTTTTAAAAAAATATATTTTATTGATTTTTTACAGAGAGGAAGGGAGAGGGATAGAGAGTTAGAAACATCAATGAGAGAGAAGCATCGATCAGCTGCCTCCTGCACATCCCCCACTGGGGATGTGCCCACAACCAAGGTACATGCCCTTGACCGGAATCAAACCTGGGACCCTTCAGTCCCCAGGCCAATGCTCTATCCAGTGAGCCAAACCAGCCAGGCTGGTGGTTCTATTTTTAACTTTTTGAGGCACCTCCATACTGTCTTCCATCATGGCTGTACCAGTTCACATTCCCACCAACTGTGCTTAGGGCTTCTTTTTCCCGCATCTTTGCCCAGATTTGTTATGTCTTGTCTTTTTGGTGGTAGCCGTTCTAACAGGTGTGAGGTGATTTACATTTCCCTGACGGTGACTGATGTTGAGCACCTTTTGGTGTACCTGTTGGCAATTTGTATGTCTATTCAGGTCCTTTGCCCATTTAACAAATTGGATTATTATTTTTTTTTTACAATTGTGTTGTATGAGTTTCATGTGTATTTGGAGGACTAACCTCTTACAATTATACGGTTTGCAAATATTATTTCCCTTTCTGTAGGTTGCATTTTCATTTTATTGATGGTCTCCTTTGCTATTGTGGGAAAGGAACAAAATTTCTCAAGGTTCTTCTGCCTGATCTAATAATCAAATAGACATGAGACAGATTAGCAAGAGGAAATAACCAAATTCAGTACACACAAACGTATGGGAACCACACATCCATGAGAGAGTCAGAGGTCACACATGTAGGAGAGGTTCCGAGATAGAAAGGGGGATGGAGGTACATGACGTCCTGAGCTAGGAATGAGGTAACACACCTTGGGGGTTTCAAAGGGTCATTCCAGGATGATAAGAAGAGCAGATGTTTAGTTAATAAAAGTTTGCCTTCCATATAGGTCAATTGAAAAAGTTACCACTGATAATCTCTACGGGCAAGGCCCCTAATTCAAATTCTTCTAAGCAGTTAAAGGGGGTACAGAGGGTAGATGTTTCTCCTGACCATGAAGCTAAAGTTGCCTTTAGCTCAAAACAGTTTGCTTACTACAGAGGCATAGCTTTGGGTGACTCGTTCTGGACCCCACACTATGCAGCTGTATAGTTTGGTGCAGTCCCACTTGTTTATTGTTGCTTGTGTTGCTTGTGCTTTGGTGTTATCCAAACAAATCATTGCCAAGACCAATGTGAAGGAGCTTTCCCCCTGTTTTCTTATCGGAATTTCTTTAAACATTTTTATTTATTGATATTTAGAGAGAGAGAGGAAGGGAGAGAAAGACATCGCCACCTAGCCACACATTCACTAGTTGTTTCCTGTATGTGCCCCACCAGAGACTGAACCCACGACCTTGGTATATGGCCACAACGCTCCAACTAACTGAGCTACCCGGCCAGGACTCTTCCAGGAATGTTATATTCTCAGGTCTTACATTCAATTCTTAATTCATTTCAGATAATAAAGTTAATTATCTGAACTTAAAAAAAATTAATCTTGGACATCCTTAACCATTTCAGTCAGCTATTACCCACTTACATGAAACCAAATACTACATGCAATCTCTCTCCCAAGCATCAATATTCTTTGTAACAGCCTTTCCTAGAGGAGTGGCTGTGCCCTATTCCCCCTTTACTAAAGGTATTTTGTATTTAACTGTTCCCTCCTTCATCTCCAACTTTTGTGAAAAAAGATAGATTTTCTAGGAAGTGATTCATTATCTCATTCATTCATTCATGAAGCAAATATTTCCGGAGAACCTGCTACACACCAAACACTGGGTAGACGCTGAAGATGCAGTGGGGAGCAAAGAGCAAAAACAAATGAGCTCTCAGTGTGAGGGGCATGTGTCCACATCAGAAAGCAACGAACATGGGAGCAACTCACCTGGGATCTCAGACAACTGGACAGGGCCCCTCCCCCGACGCGAGTGACTGAGCACTTCTTGGGAAGGCTTTGATTCTGAGAGAAGGGTTATGTCAATTCAGTGCAGAAGGGATGAGATTGCCTGCAATTCAGGCAAAAAATAAGCAAACACCATTAAAACAAGCAAGCAATCAAAAAATAAGTAAACACCATTAAAACAAGCAAGCAGGCGCAGTACGTGCTTCGCATACTCTTCCTCCCCCGCCCCCCCGCCATCCCCGCCCCCCACCCCCTCACGTCTTAGGTGAGGATGGTGAACTGACCACCCTCCAGGCCCGGGGGGCTGGGGAGGGGGCCGCCCTTCAGGGTCCCACCCGCCGCCTCCCGCGCCCGGAGGGTGTCCTTTGCACCCGGCGGGGCCTGGGGCTCGCCCAGCCGGTTCCGCAGGGAGAGGCCCGGTGGGCAGGGGTGGCGGCCCCGCCCTGGGAGAGGCGGGCCAGGCCGGGCGTATTTGAGGCGCGGAGCTGCCGCCCCGTCCAGGACATCACGACCTCCCCAGGAGCCACACCCGGAGCAAGCGAGCGAGTGTCTAGGCGCAGGGTGAGTGGCCTGGGCGTCCGGGGCCGGAGACGGGGACCCGACCCGCTGGCGGCTCGGTTCGGGCAGGGGCGAGGGCACCGGGCACTGCTCGGTGCGCGGCCCCCTTTGCAGGGCTCGGGGGACAGGGGGGTGCCTGGGGCGGGGGGCTTGGCTTCCCGGGGCCCTGGGCGGGGGGCTGCAGGCGGGGACGACTGGAGAGCCGGGAGCGGAGCGGTGGGCGCCGCCTGGGCGCGGGTCGTCGTCTTTGACCCCCGGAGAAGCGGACTCCGGCGGAGTTAGCACCGTCTCAGGGAGACTCACAGGCACCTCCTGGGTGTGGTGGGGACGGGTGTGTCCGGACGCCGGGCGTCGGCGCAGGGCACCCTCTGCCGCCACTGGGAGGCTGAGCCGCGTGTCCCGCCCTGGCGCCGCGGGGCCACCTCGGAATCGGCGCTGGGAGGGCGCGCCCAAGCTCGGCCTTAGGAACTAGGTCCCCCGGCCCAGACGCGGACGTACTGCCCGGGGCCTCTAGGGCGGCACCAGGCACCCACCACTTGGCTGACCCGGCACTTGATCTTGCTGTGAGCTGTCTACCAAGCCCAGCAGCGTCAGGGGGACAGCTGCCCTCTGGATGCTGACCCCACAGGAAAAGGTGCTGCCCCACGGCCGGCAGGGGCAGGTGACCGGCTGGGCAAAGACCGAAAACCCTAAGCTTTTGCAAATCCCTCATTTGAGCATTAACGACCGCAGATCTGTGCTTGAGGATGTGTAGGGTGTGGCAAAATGTTGGTCCGAGTGTGCAGAGCTCTAGTTGAAGTTGCGTGTGTGTGTGTGTGTGTGTGTGTGTGCGTGTTAAAAACACGTTTGAGGATTTATTCTGAATGATCAGTTATGCAAATAAAAACACTAAAATGCATCAACTCTGAGGATTAGGAGCTCAATACCAGGGAATCGGGGACACATAGGTTGAGGCTGTGACAGGTTGCAGACTAGCCCTTAAAGCTAGTGATTCCTGTTCCAGATACTGTGGAATATTTGTAAAGTGACTCCTGGGAGTTGGGTTGCTGGACAATGGGGACAGTTGGTCTTCCGTGACCCAGTCTGTTTCTAGTATTCTGGGAAAGAAATAGAAGGCAGGCTCAGTTAATTCTGACAATAGTAGTAACAACAATAATTAAATGATAGCAATAAAAATTGACAACTTGGGCACAGAACACGAGAAAAAAAAATTTCACCAACTTCCAAAATTCTGACTCACTTGTCTCAAGTTCATAACATTCATCTTTCATACTAGGGAATTCTGTTTCCATGAAAGTTAAATTTAATAATAAAAATGTATTTTCCCACAATGGTCATTGTGGAAAAGACATTGACTTTGAATCCTTAGGGTTTCTCCTTTCTTTGATGGTTGTGCCTCATGCTTCATCTTTGGGAGCTTGGAGCTGCTTCCTAAACTCATTATGTTGGGGGGTTACATTTAGAATCGGCACATTTGATGACTGTCCTTGGATGTTCTGAGACCATGGTAACTGATCTAGAAGATAGCCTCTCCTTTGGAACACAGGCTCCTGCTGGGGACAGCTAGGTAACATTGTGTCTCGTGCCTGAACTGGTTCTGCTCATTAAATCCTGAGTGGGTAGGCTGCCAGATAGCGCTTGCTGCGGGCTTACAATTTGCTGCTGACTAAGTATCATGTGTTCTATCTTGACTGATGATCAGCTTTTCCATGGGGGGAAAAATCAGCAACTGAGAGGCACAAAGTAACTTTACCTTCCTTGATGCTGAGGAAGTATGATGAGAAAGAAACCCTAGTGAAGGACCCGTTTCCTGTATTCCAACTCATTCTCACCGACTTTGGCTTTTGGAAAGTGGACTTTCCTCCAGTCCTGCCCGGCCTTTGAGCGAGGACAGGAAGTAGACGCCCCGCCTGTGTTCTGTGGCGAGAAGTGCCTTGGGGTTCTGAGGAAACATACTCACAATCGACTTCCCTTACGGCTTGTGTAAAAGTCAGGGCCCTCTGTGAGCAGAACTTTCAGAAGAGCTCCTGGGAGCCCCAGCAACTGGATTAATTGCTAGGTGAGCCTAGAATAACATAGTAGTGCGGGCACTGCTGTTTATTAAAGAGAAAAGCTACAATTAACAGACGGGCAGCCGTCGGACTCATGTTTAAATTCCTTATTCCAAACCAAACTGAAGTACTTCCTGCAAGATTTTCCAAAAGTGAAGACTCCAGCAGTACTTCCCGTCCGTTTTTGTTTGTCTTTAATGGAGTCTTTCTGTTCTGACTCTTCAAAATTCTCTGATTCTGGAAATGCCAGAATGGAGTTCACACATTATAGATTCAGTTGCATGGGGGGAGTTTTCTTACATTTGATTGTCTCTCTCGATAAAAACTACTCATTTAAGAAAAAGAAATAAATTTTCCAGGCAAGTAAGGAAGGTATTTATCTAAATAGATGTTTTTTTATTGTTGTATTTATTTATCTATCTGTTTTGAGTTCTAAGGTTGCTGACCTTGATTTCAAAAGAACATTGGTTGCCCTGGCCGATTTGGCTCAGTGGATAGAGCATTGGCCCACAAACTGAATGGTAGCAGGTTCAATTCCAGTGAAGAGCACACACTTCAGTTGCAGGCTGGATCCCGGGCCCATTGGTGCAGGAGGCAACCAGTTAATGTGTCTCTCTCCTCTTCCCTTTCTCTCTCTCTCTCTCTCTCTCTCTCTCTCTCTCTCTCTCAAAATCAATGGAAAAAATATCCTCAGGTGAGGATTAACAACAAAAAAGGATCATTGGTTATAACCCTTTTCAAAAAAAGAGATCTGATGGTTATGAGTTAACAAAATGAAAATAGCACACACCCAGTTTTTGGAAAAGTACACGTTGTTGGTTTAAATGTGTTTATAATCAGCCCAGTGACTGTGCACAACGGCATTCTTGTGTTCAATATCATTGCACACTGAGTCACCCATGATCAAAAACATGATCTCTTTTTAAATTTGTTTACAACTGCAGCATGTTATGTAGCTCTGAATGAAGAAGCTACATCATTTCTAAGTGAAGTAATTAACACTTTCAAATTTCAAAGTGTGAGGTTTAATATTAGTGTAAAATGAGCCTGAATTAGGGGTCAGGTTGCTTGGACCCTGGTCCTTGGGCTGCTAATGGCAGAATGACTTTGGGCCACCATGTCAGCTCTCTGAGCCTCAGTTACCTCACCTCTAAAAGTGTGAATATTTACTTTTCCCTGTCAATTTCATAAGATTATTATTAGACTCAAAATAGGTAAGGCATGTGAAAGTGCTTTGTAAACTGCAAAGCGCCACACAAATGCAGGCTGCAATTATTCTGATGGGCTTGCCTAACGTGTCACAACTCAATCCAAGCTGCCATCCCAGGCGTATGTGAAACACAGTGGAAGTGAAGGGAAATGGGCTTTGTTCCTCAGATTGTTTTGGTCATGTTGGAAAATGAACTGAATGTGCTTGAGCAGAGACTTTATAAAGAATAAATGTTAAATCTTGGAAATGCCATTTTCATGTGAATTTCTGGCTGCCTTTAAACACATCTTAGCTTGATTGGAGTTATGATAATAAGCCACTTTATCAGGCCAATGGCGCAGATTTGGCTGGTTTTACTCATTGAAACTACCCTTGTTTCTTATTGACCTCTGTGTGTACATATATGTAGGGAACCACATGTGAATCAGTCTAGACCAGTAGTTCTCAACCAGACAGATTTTGCCTTTTCCCCGCTTCCCCCAATGATATTTGGCAATGTCTGAGGACATTTTTTGTTGTCACAATTGGTGGTGGTGGTGGTGGGGGTGCTACTGGCTGTGCATTAAAGCCAGGGATGCTGCTAAACATCCTACAATGTACAGGACACACACCCCCTCCTCCCCAAACAACAAGAACAAAAAGCATCCGACCTGAAATGTCAGTGGTGCCGAGGTTAGGAATTAGCCCTACACAAGGGGGATATTTAAAAGAAGTGAAGACACTTATAAAGTTATCTCTGGGTCTTTGGTATGTTGCCCAGGAGTGGAAGTTTATGCAATAAAAGGATCTAAGCTCTCTGTCCACCATGAAGTTCAAGACTGTTTTCTACTGGTATCCAAAATGACACTAGCAGAGGCTTTAGTTTCTTGACTTACTAGTAAGTAATGTCCTTTCTCTCCTTTTCTGTAACAACTCCTCTCTCGAGTTCCCCCTGTGGTAGCAGCGGTTTCCTAGGCAGTGGCAGCCTTTTGGGGAAGGAAGCGCAGGCAGAAGAGCACCCGCCTTTTGCTTCCAAAGGCCAATTACTATAGGAAACACAGTGAATGGAGAGTCAGCAGTTTCCCAGCTTGGAAGGTGGACACGGTAATAACCTACTTCCAAATACGTTTGAGAACGCCCGGATTATAAGGGAGACTGCAAGAAATAAATATCCTGTGTAGATGAAGCACTCATGGAGTCCTGGAGGAGCTCTGTCTGAGTTTTTACCAAAAAAATCTAATATTTTACATTTTTAGGGCCTATCAAATAGCTACCATTTGTTGGATCCCTTGTCATTTTAAAAAATGATTGAGCCCGGCTGGCGTGGCTTACTGGCTGAGCATCGACCTATGAACCAGGAAGTCAGAGCACATGCTTGGGTGGCAGACTCGATCCCCGGTGTGGGGTGTGCAGGAGGCAGCCAGTCAATGATTCTCTCTCATCATTGATGTTTCTATCTCTCCCTCTCTCTTCCTCTCTGAATTCAATTAAAAAATATATTTTTTAAAAAGAAAATAATTGAGCAAATATCATGAGTGAGCAACTCAAGGAAAACAGAGATGCTGACTGTTTAAGGTCCAGGCAATTTTGACCATAGCATAAGTGATCCAGAGTCGAGAAAACTCACACCCAGGCCTCAGGATTCAGAAGCCGCCCTCCTCCCCTCAGTGCCGGAGTGTTTGCAGTGGGAGCAGGTATCAAACACCCTGGCAGTTACAGGGAGGAGCAGGAGAAAGCAAGAATGGTGTGTTGCCGAAACCGGTTTGGCTCAGTGGATAGAGCGTCGGCCTGCGGACTGAAGGGTCCCGGGTTTGATTCCGGTCAAGGGCATGTGCCTGGGTTGCGGGCACGTCCCCAGTGGGGGATGTGCAGGAGGCAGCTGATCGATGTTTCTCTCTCATCGATGTTTCTAACTCTCTATCTCTCTCCCTTCCTCTCTGTAAAAAATCAATAAAATATATATATATATAAAAAAAAAAAAGAATGGTGTGTCAAGCAAGGCCATTTCTTGAGGCAGCTTTGGGCAAGGCAAACCCAAAATATTTTCCTCCACATTGCCCAACCTTTTTTTTTTTAACTTTAGTCTGTTATAATGCCAAATATTTCACTTGGAACAACAAGTACTTTTTCAAAACAGCAAGCATTTGTGCCTGCCTGTCTTCATTGCTCCACATCGAGGCTTAGCTCCAACAACACCTCCCCTCTTAGAAGCAACTGTTCTGGTTGTGGCTTCCTGCAGCTCACAGTCTGGCTCATGGCATGCTCGTTTGTGATCCCTCCGGCCTGTGGAGCCTTTGACCACACAGGCCTTGGCCTATTCATCTTCACACCCAGACAGGAGCCTTCACCGTGCCCGTGCAGAGCAGGCACAAATGTGTGCAAACAAAGGAATAAATAATCTGCAGAACTCCATCTGAGGGGCATGTCTTTCAGATCGTAAGAATCAACCAACTGCTTTCCTCCCAAAACCCTAAAGAGGGCAAGGGGCTGTCCATGAGAACTAGCACGTGGGGGGAGGTTGATATTAACATGCAGACCTTTGTAAGAGGTGTGTGGGGGGGGGGGGGGGCGGAGGAGCACAGGAAGGACAGCTAGTGTGATTGGAGCTGAAAGCTCGGGTTAAAGAGGATTTGGTAATCCAGTTGGAGTGCATCTCCACCCTTGGATGAGACACCTTTGTGGTTCCATGCTATTGATTTAGACGGATTTTGGAAATAGATTGCCTTGTGCTAGAAGAATGCCTGTAAATTGAGTAGAACTGCACAACAAACTATTTGTGATCTTAAATTTAAATGGTAACTCATGAAATCTCTTCAGGTCAAATCATAACCTATCTTCTTCTTTTTTTGTCCTCTCAGGAAAATGGCAGACGGTTTTTCGGTAAGTGTTTTATGTATGCTGTCTTACTTCCTAATCCCATGGAGGGGGAGAGTTTTGTTTTCAACACCAGACTTTCCCTTCTAACGCTTTGTGCCTTCCTCTGGGCTCCCCCGTCCAATGTGGGCTTGTTGGCCAGAGTCGTGTTTTTCCAGTAATAGATCTGGGAAGAAAGCCAGCTAGAGAGAGGCCTGGGACCACTAAGAGCAGCCCCTTTACTGAAAGGTCTGGGGCCGAAGTGGGTGGATTCTGTGGGCCAGGCGCTGAGAAATAGCCGACAATGGGAAGTGTGGTACGGTCTGAGTATCCTGATTTTTATGATTATTTTTCTCATGTCAGTTAGAAAATACATGCTTTTACATTAAGGATGGATAGCTCTATTTTAGCACATTACAAAAATGCAACCCTGTACAATATAGACGATGGGCGATGTGTACTGATAAAGTGCACATAATCCTAAAGTCTAATTTGAGCCTTTGGAACTCAAAACTATTTAATAGGTGGAAACATTTTTATGGATATGAGTTGTATATCTTCATATGTCCCCCCACTTTAGATCTCTTATTCCTGTTTTCCTGAAAATTCTGTTTTTGTGAATGTTTTTCATCCAGGAATTGTATCTTTTTTTTTCCAGCTTAATGATGCCGTATGTGGGTCTGGGAACCCCAACCCTCAAGGATGGCCTGGTCCATGGGGAAACCCGCCTGCTGGGGCAGGAGGCTACCCGGGGGCTGCCTATCCTGGGACCTACCCCGGACAGGCACCTCCTGCCGCCTACCCTGGACAGGCACCTCCTGCTGCCTACCCTGGACAGGCACCTCCTGCTGCCTACCCCGGACAGGCACCTCCTGCCGCTTATCCCGGACAGGCACCTCCTGGCGCCTACCCTAGCCCTACAGCACCTGCTTATCCCGGACCTAATGCCCCAATGCCCGGCCCCGGACAACCAAGTGGGCCTGCGGCCTACCCTGGTGCGGGCCCCGCTGGTGTCCCTGCTGGACCACTGGTAAGATGGAGTCAGTCATTTCATGTACTTGATTGTGATCAGGGCAAAGCTAATGAAGAACACAGCAATCGCCTGGGCTGTGGTGCCATCACTTTGCAGTGCTCTGGCTCGGAGCTGGTTCTGGGCACTCACACCTGCATAGCTCTGCAGGGAGACGCGAAGCTTTACTCTCACTGCTTAGGGCCATATTCTAGGACCAGCCACAGTGTATGCTGGTCCAATAGAAAAAAATCGTTATTTGTATTGAGTTTAGTGTGAGCAGTGTTGGCATAAAGAGACGCTAATGCGTCTTTTGAAGGCATCTGTAAAGCAGCTTTAATAAAAATCAAGTTAAGAGCATAGTAATGGGGGAAAGTTTTCATTATTAGTATTAATAACACTACGTAAACAGCATGTCCAGCAGTGTGCTTCTACATGATGATCTCATCTGAACCCATAACCACCCGATAAGATACTGCTATTATCCCCACTTTCCACATGAAGAAATGGGACAATAGCATTATATTAGCTTGCCCAGGACCATAGAAAGAACATGGGGAAGGCGGGGAACCAAGGTAATCTAGTTTTGAAAAACCTTCTAAAGATAATTTTGTGATCTAAGGATTGAATTTTCGTTTATATTAAAACGCATTTTAGTAAAGAAATTCTACGCACAAAACCTTAATTCTGTAGGGCTTTAGACACATCTCAGACACAGAGCCTTCCCTTCTAGAGTTACAGTCCAGCTGGGAAGTAAGCAGATATGAGGAAAGAGTTCAGTAACAGCCTGGGGGCAGACCCTCTCAGGAGTAGGTGGAAGGTGGCACAGGTGGCATCTGTCTGCTTTTAGGTCAGCTTAGAGGAAAGTGCAGAGAAAGCGTTGGGGCTGTGGGTGGCATTGGGCAGGGTCTAGACCCAGATGGTTAGTCCACTGCAGATACAGGGGCACAAGGAGTCTATACAAAGGAAGAGGCAGGTGGGAGAGAGACTACAGAGGAAGAACCTCAGGATCTGCTGGTTAAGTCTTAGGAGTTAGACAGGACTGGCTTTTCAAGACTGGACAGCTAGGGCACCAGGAAGGGGACTGGTGGGGAAGAAGGCAGGAGAGACAGTTCCAGTTCATACCTGTTGAATCTGCAGCACCAGGAGGAAGTATGGGACTAGTACTGATCAGGGCTAGAGATAAAAGACTTGGATGATAGTTGGACCTGGGGTTGGGGGGAATTGTAAAGGGGAAAAAGAAGAGGCCAATGATGGGGCGTTGGGAATAGTTACAGTACCTTGAACATAAATATTTGCAGAATGGACTAGGAAATGTATTAACTGGAAGATGTTTATTCCACAAATATGGAGTATCTGCCACACACTAAGTACTCTGCCGATGCTGTGAGTAAAACATATTGTGCACTCAGGGGATTTATCTCTTCAGGCCCCGGGCACGGTGGCCCGAGTCTGGACAGATGGCTTAACTTAAGGTTGTGTTAGTCACACGTATTAATAGTATTTGAATGTTAGCAACATCTTTTTCTTTCTTTTCCCAAGAAAACATGACTCTGTATTAATACACATGTTTTTCATCCCCAGACTGTGCCTCATGAAATGGCTTTCCCTGGAGGAGTCATGCCTCGCATGCTGATAACAATTATGGGTACAATAAAACCCGATGCAAACAAGTAAGAGCAAACTTTAAACGTCTAACACATTTGTTGATTGGTTTTTGAATAAAGACTGATCTATATGGAAATTTAATAGACTTTTTAAAACTACACATTTAGAGTCTTGGCTCTTCCATAGTATGGGATTATCCCATAAATCAATACGTGCTCCCACCAAGGGGACAAGGTTTCCCTCACCAAATCTTGGTTTTCTCTCAGAACCTGAATAGAACTGAGTTCTACGTTGTGAGGAGAAAGAGGAAGAGCAGGGTTCTTCCTGGCAGGGAAAGCTTTAGCATTAAAGGCCAGTAGAGTCTTTGTAATGTCATGTTTGGCCTTCCCTCCACTCTGAACCATACTGTGTCTGAAAAGCCAAGCATGCACTTTAGATAACCATAAAAAATTAGGATGCCAAAGCAAGAAGTCTCACTTGACATTGTGGTGAGTTGATTCAAGAGCTTGAATGGTATCCCACTACGTCCTCATGCTCATGCAAGACTCGCAGGTCACCGTGCCGTCTCAGCTCTCGAGCTTGGCTGCCATGCCCGTCTTCACAGTGGGTGCAACTGCAGGGTCACAGATTCCCATGGTGTTGGCCTGGTCTTTAGATGACAAGGGGCAGGCAGGGTGGGGAAGCCCAGTCTTCTGAGTAGTCACTATTTACTTGAAAGGTTTGAAAAAATTGTTCAAGTGAAAGACTTCATCCAAATAAGTCAACCTTTGCCATTGGAGCTGGTTTGATTGAGGTGAGCTAGGAGGGGTAAGACTTTAAGCTGCTTTAGAGAAATCCATGCTGACTTGTGGCTGCCCTGGGACGCCTGGCTCTGGCTATTACCACTGGTTATGCTTATATATAATACAAACAGGCTAAGGATATCTATCCTGAAGCCCTCCAGTCTGCCTTTCGCTGAGGTTAGTGGTACCACTAAAGCTCCTGCAGCCATTAATTAATGTGTCTCTGGGTCTTATAAGTAGTATACAAAAGATACTAACTCAAGCTGTGTACACAGGTTTATTCGAGGATCCACAGATAGCCTCTATGAGCATCTGTCACCTTGCTCCTGGTGAATCAACAGTAACCACCTCCTCTGTTACCAGGAGATGGACTGGCTTCTGCTCTGTTCATTTTACATTCAAATAGCCCATTCACTCCAACCTCTAGCCAGCCTCCTCTGGATTCTATTCTAAAGCTTACCTCACAGCAAATTACAAAACATATATATCTTCTGCCTATGTTCTTAGCCATCTTTCCTCCCAATAAGTACACCATATTCTGTGCATACAGCACTCACAATTTGTTAATTTTTAAAAAATATATCTTTATTGATTTCAGAGCAGAAGTGAGAGGGAGAGATAGAAACATCAGTGATAAGAGAGAATCATTGATCTGCTGCCTCCTGCACACCCCTTACTGAGGGAGTGGGGGGATGGAGCCTGCAATCCAGGCATGTGCCCTTGACTGGAATCAAACCTGGGACCCTTCAGTCTGCAAGGCTGATGCTCTATCCACTGAGCCAAACCACCTAGGGCACAGTTTGTTAAGTTCTGCTCCCCTCTCCCAACCCCTACTGCACAGAACCACACTGGTATATTTGTCTTTATTTAGGGTTATTGTACTGGAAACTTAAAACTCCAATTACACCAGAGATGTAGACTGCGACTGTGGTAGATCAAAACTAATTTTGGTTGAAATGGCCAAGGTGATAGGAAACTGAAATAATTGTTGCTTGGTCCTGCACATTCTATGTAAGGAATTAGAAGAGAATGCTTAAGGTGGTAGAGATGACCATATCTTTAGCCATTAGATATTTAGTCAAATACAATTTCTATTGCCATTTGACTCTTTTGGTCCTTTCCTTGTGAACACATCTGTGGTCGGGTCTGTTACAGGGTGAATCCAAATACCCAGGGAATTATTATTAGTGGGTCAGGAGTGCAGATTCTGCCTTAAAACAAGAGTACCAGCAGATTCTGATGTTAGTGGTCTGTGGAGCACACTTTGAGAAATTGGGGGGTAGGGTTAGTACTTTAACAGTCAGGGGACTTGTGTTTGTGTTAACAACCAAGGAGAAGGAACGAGGTCAAAAAGTTAAGCCAGCACTTGCATCAATTCCACTTCATATCTTGGAAAGTTCAACACATTAATTGTCATGATTTTACAAATTAGCAACAGGACATTAACTACATAATCTCATTCCTTCCGTTTTAGGACTAGGTTTTTGGTTAACTAGGAGGAAGCCAGGAAGTTGATCTCTTATTTATGTGACTGGCTTGCCGTCAATAGGTATTAAAATCAACCTGGCAGGGCAGGAAGAAGGTAACCATATCATCTGCAATGGAAAGCATAACCTGCCCTTACAGTGGCTGCAAACCTCTACAAGGAAACCTTGAAGGCTTTTCATGAGTAGAAGGATAAGTAGGGAATTACAAATGAAGAGAATGATATGACCAAAGACAGTGAGGCAAAATAATCCAACACGTACTGTTCTGTTTACTTTTAGTATTTTACTAATATTTGGCCTAGTATACAGCTTGAACACATTCTCTGGTTTGTTTTCTGTTAAGAAAATGTTCCTGTATTTTATAAAACGGTTTGCTCTTTAGAAAAATCGCGTGTTCTTGATTTGATGCAAATACACAACTTGAATCATTTTACTAACTCTGGCCTTTGGTTTGAACAGACTTGTTTTAGATTTCAAGAGAGGGAGTGATGTGGCCTTCCACTTTAACCCACGCTTCAATGAGAACAACAGGAGAGTCATTGTTTGCAACTCAAACCTGAATAATAACTGGGGACAGGAAGAAAGGCAGATGATTTTCCCATTTGAATGTGGTAAACCATTCAAAGTAAGTTATTGCTATTGTTATGTATTGATAATTCATACTGCTCATGGGGAAATCACTCTAAAATCAAGATGCACTTGAAATGAATTTTGGGGAGCTATCCTGGGACACCTAACCAGCTCCTCCCCACCCCAGGTGCCCATGATCACCAGTAGGCTGGAACAGGACTAGGATTTTGGAAAGGGTTCCCAGCTCCATACTGTTACCACCTCGGAATTTAAGCTTTTCTGGAAATGAGGAAAAATAGCATCTTTAATAAAAAAGGCAGAAAGTCTCCGAGGGACTGAGACTTAGTCCCTTAAAAAACATAGTGACATAGAAACCAAAACTAAAAATTTTTTAAATTAAAAATTAATTTAAAAAGAAATTAGGTGACATTTAATATTATATTAGTTTCAGGTGTACAACACAGTCAAAAATTTTTAATTCTAAAATTAATACATGCTTCTGAAAAGAAAAATGTATAGATTTTTTAATTAACTGAAAAAGTTCTCTATCCTTTATATACTGAAGGTTGCAACTTAGTGAATATCTTTCCAGTATTTTCTATGACATACAGCACTTTTGATTTTTAAGCACTGCTTCACCAAATATTTAGTAGGTTCACAGTACTAGCTGGATTGACTGTAGAGTGGGTAATAACACAGCTAGACTATAAGCTTCTTAAGGGCAGAGACAAATAGGGACCATATTCTACATTTAATGGACATCTTTCAGGATCAGAACATTGTTTAGGTATGTAATAATTCAAGAAGTACTCTATGGATGAAACTTTGGCAATATTACCAATAAAATCTGGGAAGGTTTTATTTTACTAAAACACTGTTACTAACTTTGCTTATTCTTCTTTGCTTTCTAGAAGAATAATTTTATTAAAATATACATGTTTAAAACTCAGATATTGCCAAAGTGCTACTTCAAAAAGGATTAAACACACCCACTATTGGAAGACTATGTTTTCCCTCTTCTTGCCCAAAGTGGTTATTACCCAACTTCATAGCATTTGCTGCTCTATCAGGGGATCCCTACTTTAGTGTTTATTTTTACTTTTAGATGCTGTAGGCCATATGAAAACTTTTTATGTAGACACATTATTTTATGTAACTACATCATTATGTAGACAGTATTTATTCCTTTGTGGCTTCAACTATATAGCTTCTAAAAATTTTGTCCTTTTTATTTTGTGTAAATCTTTGACTAGTCTGGAGTTTATTTTTGCTGTAAAGTTATTTTTTCAGGATTTTAATCTGTTCCACAAAAGATGAAATGTGGACACCCTGAGCTCAGGACAGACTGGTTTTGAAATCAACAGGCATTTCTAACAGTTTTGTATACGTGCCATTTCAGATCCAAGTACTGGTTGAATCCGACCACTTCAAGGTTGCAGTCAATGATGCTCACTTGCTGCAGTACAATCACCGGATGAAAAATCTCAGGGAAATCAACGCATTGGCAGTTAGTGGTGACATCAGTCTCAATAGTGTTACACACGCTATGATATAATCTTAAAGGGGCAGATATTCTTTTAAGAAATAAAAATGAATGTAAACCTTACCCATTTAAAAGTTTCATGCTCACTGTAAGTGAAAAATTTTGCCTTTATTCAACAACGTCCTTCTTATAAATCATTCATTTAATAAATATTCTAAGAGTTAATGGTTTATATGTCATTTATTTGGGGCAGTCTATTCTTGATAATGAATAATGGACTCAATGGTAAAAGAAATATGTAGCAGAGGGGCCATTATATAGTAGGTCCTCAATAAATGAAAATTCCCTTTTGATTTTGGAAAGGGTCTTGTTCTACCCAAGCAGTTTTCTTTCACTTAGTCTTTAAGGATTTTCCTAATACCTTATAATTCTGGAGTCCAATAGCCCAAGAACACTATCTAGTTGTAAGGGACACTGAAGGCTGCCAACATAAAAATCCATTCCCGATGTCCTGATAATTGTGGTTTTATTCAGGTATGATCCCAGATTCAGTAGGGAATCATTAGTTTAAGTCAATCCCCACTCACTCAGTCTTACTGCAGACAGACATGTGGCATTAGCTGGCCTGACTAGACCACAGGGAAGGACATAGCTCTGATTACCACTAGCAGCTACATTATGATCCCAAAGGACCCAGCCTCAGACACGTGCCAAAGACAACAGAATGTTGGTTCTTGATGCCAACATTGAACTGTTAATTATAAAGTGCCTAGAATCACCCTGACAACTTATGAAATACATTCCTTATTGCTAAGCCAGTTTGAGTTCATTTTACTATTACATAGCAGCAAAAGCTTTCTAAATGATTCACTAGTACACCTTACTAAACTTACCACCATAGATTCTACGACTTTGGTTACTTTGCACCAACATCTTTTACATATTCATTCCTGAGCCCTTGGAAAGCCCTAACTTTTATATATGCTACTTTGTTCTGCCTGTCTTGCTTGAATTGTTCAATTACAGGCTGTTAATGAATAAAAGCTATTTTCATCTTTTGGTAAAACTTTAGGCACTTAGAGAACATTCTTCTAAGTCAGCACCCTACACAGCCTCCCAACTGCTCGCATGGATTTAATAAATACTGTCTTTCCCACAAGCCTAATACCCCTTCCTCTGACAATAAAACAACATGTGTTTTCTTGTTTGAAAACCCCTAATCTTATGGGGGGTTATCCATAAAGTTCTTGCTTATTGTTCAACTCACTGGAAGGCAGAAATGACTGGGCCCTGGTCTGGTACAAGCGTTAGCTACTCTGAATCTTCTTGGTGCTCTGTTACTCTGACAGCCCTGCCTTCTACAAATCTATAGCTAAGATTTTTATAAAAGAGAAAACATTTCAAACACATTAAGTGATTGACATAATTTTCTTCAAAGGAATAAGGCATTTCCTTCAAAGCCTGTCATTCATGTCAAGGGGAAAATAGGAAAGGCAGGAATTTAATGGGCATCTAGTTAACCATTTGAAACTATAACATGTAAACTGACATCAGCTGAGCCAGAAAGCTCATCCAAACAAACTCAGTATGCCCTGGAAAATCAATATGCAAAGCTGTTCAACACTGACAAATTTAAAGTTCAAACTAAAAATAAAGTATGAAAAGATACAAATATTTCTGTCAAAGTTTAGTATTATATTTTGATTAAGCGAGTAGTCATAAGCTCTGAGTAAGTGTTCTTAGCTTTAAGCTTACACATCTTAAAGAAGAGAGGCAAGGCAGTGGTATATCTTTTATTCTGCATGGCTGTTGTACAAAATATCCCCACTTCCCTTGAGAAATAGTATCATATCTAAAACACACTTGAATGAACACTGAATATTAAAATATTACATGACACCATATAAATGGGTTGAATAGAAGCAAACAAAAGTACAGTCTTCAACCTTTTGGTATTCTAAGAATATACCCCACAGTATTGATAATGACAGGAAAAATGTTTGGAATTATTTTTACATTCAAAGTTCTTCTGGTTGTTCTCCACTGAGGGCCCTTAGAGGTGAAAAGGTAATCAGGTTACCACCAAAGGAAATGTGCCTGGCATGCTCTCGACGTCTCCTCTCCACGGGAGTAAATGGATTACTGCAGTTTAGGTCCGTCTAGAGAATAAATTCAGAGAAGTCACTTACGGAACCATTAATAGTTTCACCAACTGACTTCAACATTGCAAGTTAATAGTAAATTAATAACATAAATAACATTTCCACAAAACAATAAATTAATTAATAACATGATTGTGCAACTTTTCAATAGATCTAATTTCAAATAGTTTTTAATTGAAAAGGTATATTATTAACAGTACATGCCTAAAAAGGTGATTAGTAATATGCAAATGCACCTCAGCAGCATCTGCATGATGAATACAATTGAGGCCATATCTTACGTCATATGCAGATTTCACAAACCTACTCTAACCATATAACAGCATTTAATAGGCTTTGTACTTGAAGGACTATTTTTATATTTTTTTGTTAATCCTCATCCGAGGATATTTTTCGATTGATTTTTTAGAGAGAGAGGAAAGGAGAAAGAGAGAGAGAAAAACATTCATGTGAGACACATCAATCAGTTGACTTCTGCACACACCAGACTCTGGCCTAACCAGGGATGGGGACTGAGCCTGCAACCGAGGTGCGTGTCCCTGACTGGAATCGAACCCAGGACCCTTCAGTCCGCAGGCCAATGCTCTATCCACTGAGTGAAACCAGCTAAGACTGGAGTAAGTAATATTTTTGGTCTAAAACAGACAGATGAACATATAAAAAAATTAAAAAATAATTTCTAGTATTTATGAAAGTAGAAAAGAATTCACAAGGAGAAAAAAGAATAAGGAAAAGTATAAGGTACTAAGATTTACCAACAATGTAATGTATAATTATGAAACAATTTGAATCATATTATGAATATATCAGAACCATCTGGCTTATAAAATTTCTGCTGAATTCCCTTGTACATAATAAGTTGTTTTTCTCTGTCTGAATTTAACTTTCTCTCTTTTTCCTTAACTTTTGCAATTTTAATTAAAATATGTCTTGGTGTGGTTCTCCTTGGATTCATCTTATTTGGAATTCTCTAAGCTTCTTGGACCTGGATATGTTTTCTTTCCCAGTTAGGATTATTTCTTCAAATAATTTTTCTGACCCTCTCTTCTCCTTTTGGGACCCTTACAAAGCAAATGTCATTCTGCTTGATGTTGTTCCAGAGGTCGCTGAAAGTGTCTTTACTTTTAAAAATTCCTTTTCATTTTACTGCTGTCTGGGTGTGTTTCATTGCTTTGTCTTTCAGCTTGTTGATTTGTGCTTAATTTTTATCCAGTCTCCTATTGAATCCCTCTAGTATATTTTTCATTTCAGTTATAATTTCTGTTTGGCACTTTTTATGTTCTCAATTCTTCTTGCAAATTTGGTGAGCATCTTTATGACAATTACTTTGAACTCTTTTTCTCAGGTAGGCTGTTTCATTAAGGTCCCTGACCCATTTGGCAGTGGGCACTGGAAAATTTCAAGGTAAGGCTGTAAACCAGAGTTGTTGACCCTGGCTACCCAGTAAAATCACTTGATGAAGGACCTACTACAGATCATTGAAATAAAAATATCTGGCATAGGGCTGAAAAACAATGTTGTAAACACTGAGTAGGCAACAGAGCACTTTTTTATTTGTGCCACAGTGAATATAAATCAGACAGCTCTGCCTACAGAGGAATTTATAGTCAATAAGGGAAATAGATTCCTGAAATTATAATAAGTTAAGAATATAATATATTCATATTATTCTCTTAAGAAGAGATTATATACACCGATAATGAACTCACAGAAAGAGAAACTTTTATCCCATTTATCACTACAACAAAAAAATTAGGATACCTAGGAATAAACTTAATTTAGGAGATAAAAGACCTGGACTTGGAAAACTACAGGACGTTGAAAAAAGAGATAGAGGAAGATATAAACAAGTGGAAGAATATACCATGTTCATGGATTGGTAGAATCAACATGATTAAAATGTCCATACTACCCAAAGCAATCTAGAGATTCAATACAATCCCCAATAAAATACCAATGGCATATTTCACAGATCTGGAACAAACTCTCCAAAAATTCATATGGAATGAAAAAAAGACCCCGAATAGTCGCAGCAATCTTGAGAAAGAAGAACAAAGTTGGAGGGATCACAATACCAGATATCCTATCCTATCCTCCTATATAATAAAAGAGAAACATGTAAATTGACTGCCCCTTCGCTATGCTCACCAGCCAATCAGGAGTGAATATGCAAATTAACCAACAAAGGTGGCGGGTTGATCTGCATACACAGGCGCTAGGCGGAGAGCAGAAGTGGGAGAGCCGGCAGCTTGGGAGGACGTGGCTCCCAGGGTTGCTCCCTCGGTCACCAGGCAGAGAGCAGAGCAGGAGAGCCGGAGGCTTGGCGGGCCGTGGCTCTCTCGGTTGCTCTCAGCCTGGGGAGCACCAGGAATTCTGGGAATAGTAGTTCTGATGGTAGCCCCAGGACCGGAAGCGGAAGCCCAGAGTGCAGGGAGCACCAGGATTGCTGGGAATCGTAGTTCTGGTGGCAGACGGATCTCCTAGACACTAGAGCAGCGGTTCTCAACCTGTGGGTCGCGACCCCTTTGGCGGTCGAACGACCCTTTCACAGAGGTCGCTTAAGTCCATCCTGCATATCAGGTATTTACATTACGATTCATAACAGTAGCAACATTACAGTTATGAAGTAGCAACGAAAATAATTTTATGGTTGGGTCACAACATGAGGAACTGTATTTAAAGGGCCAGAAGGTTGAGAACCACTGCACTAGAGCAAAGTGAGCCTGGAGCAAGTTACTGTTGCGGTGGGGGATGGAGGGAAAGCAAAGGTGAGAGACATAAGTAAAATCAGAGTGTCTAGGAAACATTAAAGGGAAGATATCCTAAAACTTCCAGGAAATCTCCACCAATGAAGCAAAGAAAAAAAAAAGCCTCTATTATTCTGTGAGCAACAAACCAAACTGGGTTGGGGGTCTCGGACAATTCGCCCATATGATTGCAAAGACAGACAGAAACTCCTGGATTGGAGAGGGTTCCCCTGAGGGCTCCCAGATTGGAGAGGGTGCAGGTCAGGCTGAGGGACCCCCTTCCTGCCCCCTGTGCACAAATCTTCATGCACTGGGA